CTCGAGGGCTTTTGCATATATCAGTTGGTGTGCCATTTTCGCGCCCTCCCGATGTTAACTTGAAGTATCTTTAGTCTTTTTGTCCCTTGTGCACCCATTTAAAAATCCTATCCTAAAAATCCTTTTTTTTTTTTCTTCTTAGGAACTAGGGGGCTTCCGTAGCAGGGTCCGGCGATTGCTCCACCGCTCGTGGTGCTTGGACTTGATTCTTCTCAGAATTCCGAACTATTTGAAGTGCAGTCCTGAACTTAGGGCAGTTCGTGTGCCACATCTGTGAGGTGCATCACAGAGGACGCAACTAGCCGTCGACTGACATGATTTAGATTCGTGTCCCGTTTTACCGCAGTTAAAACAGGACCCACTCCTGTCCGGCCGTTACAGTTATCTAGGGTGTGATCGTAGGACCAACACCTGAGACATCTAGACACCCTCAGCCGAATGTTTAAGTCTGCCAATAACTCTAATTATACTCTTGTCATCTAAGAATGGGCTAATAAAATTTTACTTCTAGAAAATAGGTTTAGATTTTAATAAATCTTAGTATTCATTAGCATATTATCGAATCTAATGAATCCAATTAATAAATCTAATAATTTAATCTAACGAATCTTAGTATTCATTATTGAACAAGACGTGCCCTAGGTTGTTCTCCCAAAGTCATGTGTTAAGGTCGTACTTGCAGAACTTCATGATAGCTGCCCTGGAGGGCATTTTGGGATAAATAGGACTTTGACCAGAGTCCGTGAGGGGTATTATTAGGTTAATAGTTGGCAAGATGTGGATGAATGGTGCAAACGATATAACCTGTGTGCATCCAAAAAGGGAACCAAAACAAGATTCCATGAGAACGAGTTGTTGTTGACATTTTGGGCCCATTTCCAGTAACAACATCCGGAAACAAATTTTTGGTGGTTGCTATTGACAATTTTTCCAAATGGCCAGAAGTAGTTGCACTATCCAACCAAGAAGACAGGCTGGTGAGGCCCTACTTGAGATTGTCTTTTCCTCACATGGGGTTCCACTTCTGCTTCATTCTGATCAGGGGCGCAAATTTGAATCGAAAGTTTCGAAAACCATGATGACTTTGTTGGAAATTAAGAAGACCAGGACAATACCGCTTTATCTTTAGTCCGAAGCTCATGAAGCAACTGGTTACACTCCATCAATGTTATTAACTGGTCGAGAGTTCAAGCTTCCCATCGATCTCCTACTTGGCCATCTACCAGAAAGAGGGGTAGACCAAGAGACAGTCCCCGAGTATGTCAGCGGCCTAAAGGATCGACTGGGTAAGGTCCACGATTTCGGCAGGAATAAGCTACAACTCACCAGTGGCCGGATGAAGATTAGGTTCGATCATAAATCCACTCCTGTTAGTTTCAAGGAAGGTGATGCAGTTTGGCTCTACCAACCAACCAGAAGAAAAGGTCAAAGTCATAAGTTGCAGCGGCCCTTGAAGGAACCGTACCTGGTTACTAAGAAGATATACGACCTTTTACATATTGTGTAACTAACGTCCACCTAGAGAGACTTTATCCTTATGAAGGGTAGAATCCACCGACCTGGTCCATTTAGGTACTGTTTAAGGTGAACAGCCTGAAAGAAGGAAACTATGTTATGTATGTATTATTGAGACATTTGTTATTTATATATTGAGTTAGTGGTTTTTTCTTTGTAGTTGAGTGTTTAAATAAAGTTACTTAATCTACGAGTACTTTAATTAATTTCTGAACAGCCGACAAAATTAATCTTATAAAAATGTACAAAAAAATTAAAGACATAAAGATAAGCGCGCAGCCGCGAATTCTACATCCATTCGTTTTAGAAGATGACTCTTTCAGAAAGTTAACGAATTTGTATATCTGGAAGCAATTGTCCTCGTTGACAATAGCACTACCGAGATCAATAGCAGAATTTGTATGGCCACGGTGCTATTTTAGGCTTAATTCCCTTTTCTTTTTCTCTCGCACTCCTGATGCCCTATAAGAGTGTCGGAATTAATTCCTTTTTCAAAACCTTAGATATCAATAAATATAAAGATGAAGCTTTAAAAAACAATAATACGCCCAGTCCTATCATACGTCTAAACAGTTTAGGATGTTTTTAAGAGAAAGGTGCCGAGGAGTGCGAAAGCCGATCAGATGCGGAGGGTACAAAAAATCCATTACTAAATACATTCCTTGATAGACCCATTGGACAGAGAAGAGAAAAATTCAGAAAAAAATTAGTTGATATTATCGAAGAATATTGTTCTGAAGCTATTTTCTTGGGGCATTGTAAATTAATTACTATTTATAACTGGGAATAAGCCACAATTAAAGATAAAAAATACGTTTATTGACGTTTCAATTTCCAATTCGGAAATCGTTCTCAAAATACAAACAGTAAATTAAACAAATTTTGTTTTTTGTTACATAGTGAAAAAAATTTCTAATAATTTAATTTTATCTGACTCATTTATATTGACAATTCAGACATACATTATGCATTTTAAAGTAGACGACTTTAAAATGATATTGCCAATATTGTTGAGTTGCGCTCCTGGGACGACTTTACTTATAAGATAGTTCATTCGATTACATGAAATCAACTTTAACTTGAGAATATCCGTCAGAAAAAATCATAGCATGTAATTCGTCTTTAAAAAGACAAACACATGACATGATGACAGTAAAATTCTCCTGTTAGTGATTCCATAGTAAATTATGAGGGAAAAACCAGGAAAAAAAAACCTCATAATACTATCCCGACATTGTAAGTAATTTGTTCGTGAATTTAGTTTACCTTCAACAAACATCAAAATTCTGATTTTATATGTTACGTTATTTAAAAAACAAAATGATGTATCCTCTATATGTTACTGACTTACTAATACTGGTATTTTCTTATTAATAACTTCCTCTTTCAATATTGGTAACCAGATCCTACTACATTCTGCCGAGGAATTTGCGACACAATTGGCCTCATTTAGCATAATTAGAGCCGCTTCTTTGATTTTTCTTTTTTTTACCATCCGTTTCTTTTAGGACTATATTTGAATTATTCCATTGAACCCTATGTTCATTATCCCATGCGTGTTTACATATTTGAGATCTATCAAATTCTCTATTTTTAATATAAGATTGATTTCACTTATTCTAAACATTTAATGGCCTTGATGATTCACCTAAATAAAACTGATCGCATTCACAAGGTATTTATAAATGCAATTCTTTGTCCTTTCTTGTTCATTGTTAGTTTGGTTTTGGACAAAATAGATCTCAACGTGTTTGTTGTTTTGAATGTTGTTGAAATGTGAATTAAAATCTATCTTTTATTTTAAAAATAGACAAAATAAGCTCATTGAGAAAAAATTGCTTACCAACCCACGAAAAGTAAGAATACAGAGTGTTATGTAAACTTGAATTGGAAAAATCTACTAAAATTGAACAAAACATAAGCAAAGAGGAACTAAAGGCTATAAGAACTTTAAAAAATGACGACTCCATAATCATCCTACCAGCAGACAAGGCAGACAACAATACCGTACATAAAAGGATTATCAGAAATACTTAAAAGGATAGGAAATAAATTCAACATTTCAACAACATTCAAAACAACAAACACGTTGAGATCTATTTTGTCCAAAACCAAACCTAACAATGAACAAGAAAGGACAAAGAATTGCATTTATAAAATACCTTGTGAATGCGATCATTTTTATTTAGGTGAATCATCAAGGCCATTAAATGTTAGAATAATGAACATCAATCTTATATTAAAAATAGAGAATTTGATAGATCTCAAATATGTAAACACGCATGGGATAATGAACATAGGGTTCAATGGAATAATTCAAATATAGTCCTAAAAGAAACGGATGGTAAAAAAAGAAAAATCAAAGAAGCGGCTCTAATTATGCTAAATGAGGCCAATTGTGTCGCAAATTCCTCGGCAGAATGTAGTAGGATCTGGTTACCAATATTGAAAGAGGAAGTTATTAATAAGAAAATACCAGTATTAGTAAGTCAGTAACATATAGAGGATACATCATTTATGTTTTTTAAAATAACGTAACATATAAAAATCAGAATTTTGATGTTTGTTGAAGGTAAACTAAATTCACGAACAAATACTTACAATGTCGGGATAGTATTATGAGGTTTTTTTTTCCTGGTTTTCCCTCATAATTTACTATGGAATCACTAACAGGAGAATTTTACTGTCATCATGTCATGTGTTTGTCTTTTTAAAGACGAATTACATGCTATGATTTTTTCTGACGGATATTCTCAAGTTAAAGTTGATTTCATGTAATCGAATGAACTATCTTATAAGTAAAGTCGTCCCAGGAGCGCAACTCAACAATATTGGCAATATCATTTTAAAGTCGTCTACTTTAAAATGCATAATGTATGTCTGAATTGTCAATATAAATGAGTCAGATAAAATTAAATTATTAGAAGAATTTTTTCACTATGTAACAAAAAACAAAATTTGTTTAATTTACTGTTTGTATTTTTGAGAACGATTCCGAATTGGAAATTGAAACGTCAATAAACGTATTTTTTATCTTTAATTGTGGCTTATTCCCAGTTATAAATAGTAATTAATTATCGAAGAAGATATGAGAAAAATGGAGAGACCTGCTTGGCGAAGGAAGCCGAGCGATAGGGAAGACTAGAGGAACATTCTGAAGCTTCACATAGCCTGAATCATGATGACAGTTGCCATAAGTTGACCAAGCAGATAAGGGTAGAATGGTACAGCCAATGTTATATATGATGAAGTGGGCAAAATTAATGTATTGTTGCCTTGAGTTACCGTACTCATTGGATTAGAGAAACTATCTGCACTCTCTTCCATCGTAGTTCTTATGTTAGGTATAACTACGTGTTAGTTATCTGTTATTCAGCAGGACTTGCGCCCGCCAATTTTTCATTGTCTTGATTTACTTATTAGACAATGCCACTAAAATGGCATTGATTCAATTGGAAACTCACTCGCTCTTTTTTGTTCTCCAGGAAAGAAGCTTTAGGAAGTATGGGTAACGATGTTCCTCTGGCCTGTTTATCAAATTTTGCTCCTCTTCTTTACGAATACTTCAAGCAACTGTTTGCCCAAGTAACTAACCCTCCCATTGACCCTTTCCGTGAAAAAGTTGTAATGTCATTACAATGCCCAATTGGACCCGAAGACAATATTCTCATGCCAAGTTCAAAACAGGTAAGAATATAGATATCCCTTAGTGTTAGATTATTTCTAGGGAAGAAAATGTAATACCGTGCATGTACTAAATTCATTAAATATCTACTAGATGTAATCACCAGACGTTTGAGAGGACTTAAGTTAATAAGTTACATCGCAAATAATCTAGATAAATAGAAAACTTCTTTGATTCATGCCTTATATTTTTTTTTTGTTTATTTTTCTTGCATGTACTTACACCTGTAATTTCTGTGTTAGAAATTTATTTGTTCTGATAATTTCGTTCATCATTGTGAGCCATTTGGATTTTTTTTGCATTTCTTGTAGTTTATGTTAAATTCATACGTTGTTTATATATACTTTTTCTATTTTCTGTTTACACATAATGTTCTTATTATTTTCTTATATCTTTAAATTTTCATCTATAGAATTGCTTTAGTTTACATTAACCTTTATTTCCTATATATTGTCGTACGGCCGTAGCATCCTCCAGGTTCTCTGGCGTCTCTGGACGTTCTACGACCGCCGCTCTCGAGGAGAATCTCAAGTTTCGTGAGTCCATCCGCGTATTCGTGGACGTAATTGGGATTCTGGCCTCTACGTGTGAGAAGATTCGCCGGCCTCTGTGGTAGGTGAGGGAACACCGGCAATCTGAATACTTTAACCGTTCGAGCTTTCTTACAGAAAATTTTCTTGACTTTTTCTAATTTTAATGACTTAAGATATGTGTTAGTATTCTCTTGCGTGGTATATGCCTCAAGTCGCACAGAAATGCCGGCCTTCTCAACTCGTATAGCCGCGTTGCCTTTCTTCGAGAGAGGCGCAAGAATGCCGGCCGTGTCGACTGTTCTTACTGCCCGCCGCTACGTATTACCACCACCTTTCACAAACAGTATTATTGATGGTTACTATTTGCATAAGGTTTCAGGTAACGAAGCGTTGTCGCAGCTCGACTCTGATCAGAAAAGCAAATACTAGTCCCCATCGGGCATTTAATTCGCTCTTTATCGTCACAAGTCCCAAAGAACGGCCAGTTCGACACAATTTAAAATAGTTCTAAAACCACTGTCTTTTCTATTTCAAAAGGCCGAGTCCTACTGGCAGAAAGCGTGCGCAGTCAACACGCCGGTTCTCGTGCTCTGAAGTATATCTTCTTAAAATGGATGAAGTCTTCTTATATTCAACGATATTAGGTTATTGGATTAATAATAAAACTCAACGTAGCATCGTAGCAACACCAGACCAACAAGGTTTAGCGGGGCTAGTAGTATATAACGACTAAGTCCCGATCGGAAGATGTTCTGCTCTTTTATACACTTAGTGTTTTAGAATTCGCAGCAATCTTCCGCCGAGAGGCCAATGACAGCGCAGTTAACAAAGAGCTCTGTGATTGGCCAAAGTAACTATCTTTGTCGTGATTGGTTACTCTGGTGACAATATTAATTACTTCTTGTTTCTTTATATGTCTTTTTTTAAGGTTCACCGATTATGGTTAAAGAGTCCAGTAATTTCTATAGCAGACCTGGAGGTTTTAAAGCAAACCACCCACCGTAATTGGAGTTCTTGTGTCATTGACATCACGTTTCCTGCCGAAGAAGGTGTACAAGGATTTCTAAAGAAACTTCATAATATATGTTTAGAAGCAGATGAAGTGGCCAAAAATCATGAAATCATTGTGTTGTCCGATCGACTAGCATCAAAAGATAGAGTACCTCTTAGCAGTTTGTTAGCACTAGGTAAGTAAATTTTAAAAGTAAAAGTAAAAGTAAAATAAATTTTATCAACAATTTTTATAAAATCATTTATGATACAACCTCATTAAGTTTCTCCCTGATGAAGGACATAACCAATGTCCGAAAGCTTGGAATAAAAATTTAAAAGAGTACACCTTTCATTTTTATTGCTGCATACCCAATATTTAAAGTTTACTTATATATACGTATATATATATGATGTAGGTTTTACTTAAAAGTTCTTTTATTATTTCAAAGGGAACTGACGTTAGAATAAAAGTCCGCGATCCCAACGATACGTCTTTATTACACAATAAACTGCACGGATGGTATTTACAGGTTCACAATATTACTAGATTGTGAATAATGGTTTGTAAATTAAAATATCGAATAACTCCGTCGTTAAATGTTTTCGTCTTTTTCTGCCGGCGGGCGTTGCACAATATTCAACCTTTACAGTTCGAATGCTAAATATCGAATCCCTTTTAGAGCAGGCATGTGGGATTTTGTCTATTATTTTTCTGTCCCCTTTCCCCGCGATGGCGACCTGTCTGGGGCGTCTTAAGAATATGGTTTTAGTGGTATCTCGCAGTGGCGTAACTAACAAATAAAACTATGCTAAATACTTAATATAAGAAATATTTCCTACATACATATATATATAATATATATATATATATATATATATATATATATATAAATTATATATATATATATATATAAATATATATGAATATATTCATATATATATAAATATATATATATATATATATATATATATATATATAATATATATATATGAATTCAGAGGTTTAATCGGTCATTCAGGTTGGCAAATAAAAAAAGAAGTCAACTACTTCATAAGTTTATCGAAGCCGTTTCGCTTTATATTTCTAAAGCTTCATCAGTTCTCTAAAATACAATAGATGACATAGAGTTTATAAGAAATACAGATGTTAATAGTTCAAAACTTACAACTCAATATGTAGTATATTATCGATGTTATTATATATGTACTGTAAACTTTACTCATTATTTAAAACTAACTTAGCAAAAAACAAACAAAAAACACAAACTGTAGGAAATAATGTTCATATTCTTATTATACGAAGATTTAAAAATTTTTAAACGGAAGTTTGGCTTCATTTAGAGATGGTTCTCCAATGAAGACAAACAAAACACATGATTTATTGCAATCTATTGCAATCGACGACGTGACGCGATACGTAAGGGCCATATGTCACCAAATTCCAAGGTTTGAGACAATTATGAACTTCTATGGGGGTCATTGAATGATTAGTTCTACGGTGGATATATGGCGGAAATATTTGATAATTTTTTTTTATTTATGTTTTAATGAAACTAGGATATATATATATATATATATATATATATATATATATATAATATACTATATATGTTCTGAAAGATTTCCGCGGTTAGTACAATTAAACCTAGAGCTAAGATTAATATTATTACAAAAATTAATATTAAACTCACTAGTTTTCCGGGTTGCACCGCGTCAATATCCTCAGTCTCCCGAGCCCCCAGACACTACTACACGTGTTACTGTTCACTTCACTGTCACTACTAGTAGTAGTGTGTAGTAGTAGCGAGAGTGAAGTGAACAGTGACACTTTGTCACTGTTCACTTCACTAGTAGTAGTGTGTAGTAGTAGTGACAGTGAAATGAACAGTGACAAGTGAAGTAGTGTCTGGGGCTCGGGAGACTAAAACTTCGGAAGCCCTGAGGAAGACATCAGAGAGGATGTCGAAAGCTCGGCCTAATGGATATCGACGCAGTTCAACCCGGAAGACTGGTGAGTTTATTTTGTAATAATATTAATCTTAGCTCTAGGTCTCTCTCTCTCTCTCTCTCTATATATATATATATATATATATATATATATATATATATATAAATATATAATATATATATATATATATATATGAAAGTAAAAGATTGCATTCCATTTCAATCAGAATTCCACCATTGCCCTACACGTGTTTCGGGTTATTCAACCCATCGTCAGGAGCACTTGTGGAAGTTCAACTGAAATGAAATGCAGTCTAGTATTTGATAATTATAACCAAAATAACAGCAAGGTACGCTAGCAGCGACATCTATACGAAGTAACAAGAAGTCGAAAGACCTCTCTCTGATAGCAAATTAGGTGAACCGCAAATTCAAAGCCTCTTGCTAGAGGCTTTTAACGACGCTAGAAGTATCCTTTTACTTCGACATGCATCTACGATTCACCTTTGAAATTCCATCTTTTTCGCTCTTTACGTAGAGAAAGACATTTAAATGAAAGTAAAAGATTGCATTCCATTGCATAAGAGCTTAAACCAACATCTAAAAAGAACCTACAAATTGTTTTTGTAAGTATGAACCCTGTTGGTTGTTTACTTATATTCTAAAATCTTTATTTGTAGTGAACTGATGATGCTTTTAAAAATAAAAGCGAAACTTATTCGAATAAATCAATAAAGTAGTTGACGACTTTTATTTGCCAATTATTGACCGATAAAGTGACGAGTGAACAATAATGTTAAAGTAATAAATTTATAATCTATCTACAAAATGTGGTGTCGGCATTTCCCACAAAAGGCCAGCTTTGGTCAGAGTTTGATAACCGTGCATGGTCAGCTATCTCGATGGGAACGCTTGCTGAAAGGATGATAAAATAGGAACTGATATTGCGAAACCAAAGTGTCGGTAACCCTTGAGTGGTTCAAGGTGACTATTTTCACATATAACAGCTCCCCTCATTAGTGAAAAGTCGATGCCTTGCTTCGACTTTTAAAGTTCAATTGGGGTTTCTGAGACTTCTTCATTTTCTGGGCGTACGTCTGGTCTTCTTTTAAAGGTTAATCCTTTAAGTGTCTGTTTAATGGAACTGCTGCGGTGTGGCGAAGGTGGAGGTGAGTCTTGCGGATAGTTCATGGCAAGTCTTGGAAATCTTTTGCGTCTACATTTGCAGAAGATGTATACAAAAACTAGAATGATAGTTAATGTTAAAGACAATATAGTGAACCAAGGCAAATGTTCTTCGCTGAATGGATGGTTCATGATTCGGTCGAGTTCTTCTGAATATTGGTCCAGCTTGTGTTGTGCAATATTTAAATCGTCTGCATTAATCTTATTGAGTTGTAATGGTTTCAAATTTGGTATATGGTTTCTTCTTATAAAATGGTCACAATATCTGTATGGAACATTAACTGGATAACTTCTGTAGGTTATATTTGGATATTTATCGATTTGGTCTCTGGCGTGGACTCTAGTACTTCCAATAAATGCTGTACATTCGGGTAGTAATCTTAGAATTGTATTTACTTTCATTGTCTAGTTGCTGATGTCATTTCTTTCACACTTGATTATAACTGGTAATGGATCGGATACTGTTGTTAACCATAAATTTCGGTCAATTTCTTGCACATTGTAATCTTGTGCTAAAAACGTCAACATCTGACAAGTTTTTGGTAGAATGCTAACTGGTTTCAATAACTGTGCTTCACATATAGTATCGCTGTCTATTGGATAGGGAAGGATATCTGTGCACATTCTTTGATTTGGACTAATTGATTTGCATTCTTCTGTGTTTCGGGGTAATAGATATGAAATTAAATTATCATCTCGCGCTATATACTTATGTATTGTAGAAAGTGTATGAAAAAGACCAGTTTGAGTATCTAACCGAGAAAAGGTGATGGCGTTCAAAATGTCATTGAGATAATTTTCTAAAAATATGTAGCTTTCCATTAATGATTCACACAAATTTAAGGTTTGTAATTGTGCACGGTAAAATGATATGTCGTTAGCAATGTCTATAAAAGTGGTTTCGATATCGTTTAGGTCTTTGTTAAAAGTTTGTTGGTGACAAGGTGACTATTTTCAAATATAACATATATATATATATATATATTATATATATATATATATATATATATATATATATATATATATTGTTATGATATGTAAAATCGAGAAAAATATTTGTTGTTTAAAATATTTCAAAATTCAAAACATTAAAATAATTCAGATAAGTAGGATAATACCCAACAAAACATTTCGAAGAAGGAAAGTATTTAAAATTTTTGGATTACCTGTATTAAACAAAATGTACTATGCATAAATTATTTCTTTTGTTATACTATACTTGAGTGACCCGTATAATTTTAAGTGAAATCCAAAGAACAATTGAACCGGGTTTTCCAAATACATTAACGCAGTAATTATAGACAATAGAAGAGATTTGGAAAGACGTTTTTGTTAGTTTTTAAGAATTATAGAAAAATATTATTTGTAAATAAGTTTTAGGAAATTTTATAATTATAGGTAAAAATTTGTTTGTTATCGGAATGAAAGAATGGGGAATTGTGACGAGTTTTGATTGGCGGAGATTAAAAAGGTGGGATAGATATGTAGGAATGAAAGTTTAGCTAGATTTAGGAGAGAGAAAAGATAGTCAGTTGGTTTCCAAGGGTGCAAGGCGAACGGCCATTGTTCTCGGGTAGTTTTCCAGAGGTAGGAAGCAGTAGCAGTGAAAGTTTGTGAGTTTTCGTGTAGTTAGTGTATCTGACAGAAGCTGATCCAGTAAAATATTGTAAGTCATATTTTTCTACTTATATTCCAAGAGTCACTGTTCAGGCCATGAGAGATTCAGTTTATCGTAAAGAAAAGATATTCCAAGAGTCATTTTTCACTCAGGCCAACGAGAGATTCAGTTTATTGAGAGAAGAAGAAGCTAGCATAATTTGAACGATTCGTGCATTGAAGGAGATCATTAAGGACGAGATACTTGCAATAATTTATTGTAAGATTGCTGATTACTTAGGGAGCGGCCACGAGTAAATAATATAGTCTACAAATAACAAGGATTTGGACCACTCATCATCAGAGAGAGATAGTTTTGTTTTCTGCAGTTTTTCTTTCATTGATAACACAATTTTTTACACTTAATTTAGAAAGGATATAAATATTTTGATTAGGAGATTTAGAGTAATACTTGGATTTTGAGATTTCAACTAATATTGTTTGTACCATTAATTTTGATTGTTCACGTACGTAGAATAAAATTTTGAGAATTATTATATGAGATTTGGTTTATTGAAAACTTTTGATTGTGAATTATTTCATTATTTTTATTTCAATATATAGTGTTAGATCATATGTGTTTTTTATTATTCCGGTATTCTTTGGACCTTACCTTTCACATGTATAGCATAGATATTGAAGCACGAATTTAACCCTGAGATAAAAGAATTAGAAATTGTGATAGAGTCATAATTAGTGATGGGAATATTCGGATGATTTTAATACTCGGATAGTAACGATTCGAGTATTTTAATCCTCGGATGATGATCCGAATAACCGAGGATTTATTTCGCATGCGCAGGCAGAATGATAACAAGAGAACGATCGGAATTACGAATTACTTCGAAGTAGTCAAATCGATGTGTGAGTGATTCGATTCACATCTCACGTAATACATTCTAACTTACAGAGTGACAGAAGTCTGTTATTTATGAAAATCGTTTATTGTTTATTCTATAATTTGTTATATTTCTTGCATAAAATTGGTACATATTCACGTAAATATGCGACCAGGTGTAAAGAAATCAGTTGTGTGGCGTTATTTTGTAAAAAATGCGGACAAAACTGTCAGTTGTAATATGTGTAAAAAACAATTTAAATATTTCGGAGGTACATCCAACTTAAAACAACATTTAAAAAGAGTTCATCCTATTTCGTATTTACAAAATGAAATAATACCTTCAAGTGATAGTAGTGCTGACGTGATAGAGGTGAGTAAAGAAAATAGTGAATCTCAGCCATGTACTTCCCAGGCTATTGTTAAAGACACCATGATTAATAGTAAAAATGTTGAAGTAATTCCTATGAATCTCAGCCATGTACTTCCCAGGCTATTGTTAAAGACACCATGATTAATAGTAAAAATGTTGAAGTAATTCCTACTAAACAGTTAAAACTGTTTGGAAGTAAACAGCACAGTAACTTGTCAGAGAAGAAAGTTAGTGAAATAGATATTGCTCTAATTAAAATGATAACAAAGGATTATCAACCCTTATCTTTAGTAGAAAATGCAGGATTTCTAGAATATTCTAAAGCTCTACAACCTTTATACACTCCGCCAAGCCGCAAAAAATTAACTTACGATTTTAACTTTTAAAAAATTAACAGTAACGGGCCATTTTATTTTTAAGAGTGTCCTACGCGCACATGTTTTATCCACGAGGGAACTACCAGTTTCACATACGGGTGAAAATATATCAATAATGTTAGGTGATATTTTTCATCATTGGAAAATTGAAAATAAAATTATAGCGATTGTTTCCGATAACGGGGCGAATATTAAAAGTGCTATTTCGAATTATTTAAAAAATTTTCATTTACCATGTGTTGCTCATACATTGAATTTAATAGTGACAAGAGTTTGACGGATGTTGCAGAATTAAATGACATATTAAAGAAATGTAGGGCACTTGTGAACCATTTTAAACATAGTAGTCTGGCATGTGATAAACTTAGATCCGTTCAAGAACAGATGGGATTACCTAATTTAAAGGTGAAACAGGAGGTTGTTACAAGATGGAATTCTTGTTTCCATATGCTACAAAGACTTTTGGAAATAAAGAACCCATTGTGTGTTGCAGTAGCAAACTTGTCAAAACCACCTGAATTTCTTAATGCAGATGACTGGGAAGTTATTAATGATTGTATAAAGGTGTTAAAACAAGCAGATGATATAACAAGACTATTATCTAGTGAAAATTACCCTACAGTGTCTTTGTTAATACCAATAATTCGAGGAATACAGTTTGCGCTACAAAATACCACGGTTGTAACAAATGTTGGAGATTCTCTTAAATTAAAATTGTTACAAACAATCCACCAACGTTTGGGTAGTTTTGAGTCAAGTAAAACTATTGCCAAAGCTACATTTCTTGACCCAGATTTTAAAAAAGATGGATTCGGCAATGAAGAGAACGCTAATAATGCAGAAAAGTGGGTGACCGACGAAATTAAATTAATTCTAAGTAAAAAAACAGAGTCAACTGCTTCGCCTCAGTTGAAAACTAACTCAGATCAGACAAATGAACCCTCTACAGAAAATCTAAATATATGGACTCATTTGACAGAAAGGTATCAGAAAAACGACATTTTTCTAATTCCACTACCACTGCCATAATTATGATTAGGCAGTATTTAGAATTGCCATTACAAGAAAGGAACAAAGACCCTTTAGAATTTTGGACAAAACATCAAATACTTTTACCAGAATTGTATGAGTTGGCAGTGAAATATTTGTGTATTCCTGGAACTTCTGTACCGTCTGAAAGAGTCTTTTCAAAAGCAGGACAATTATCAAACTTGAGAAGAAGTAGACTTTCCCCTAAAAATTTGGATCAAATAATTTTTTTAAATTCTAACTGTTAATTAATTTTTATATTATTCGTCTCGATTCCACCGAAATACTTTTTTTTTTTAATTGGCAGTATGAAAATTATTGTTGTGTTTACTATTATTTTGTGTATGAAGTTTAATTTATTTTATAATATATTATTTTATTAGTTTTTTTTTCAAATCTCATAACACCAATCACCTCAATATGCATCCTTAACCTGAAAATAATTCATTTATTATAAACTCGTTCCAATGAATGGTCAAACGACACAAAAAACGTCAGAAAACAATTGGTCAGTGCGAGTAGCTATATTTCATAGGTATCATCTATCACCTCTACTTGTGCTGTACAGTTAATTTATAAACTTGTCTGGCTTAGAACTAGATTTGATGAAACATCTTTCTTCGGTGAGAATTCGAATGTTTGTTGAAATTCGTTCACTTCTGTCCACAGTATTCGAATATCGAATACAATGTAGTATATTACACCTTATCGAATATATTTCAGTAGTCACTTCCGACTTTAGTCCAAATGTCAAATGTGTTGCTGAATTAAGCGAATATATTCGTTACTCGAATGTTATAATCGGATTGTTCCGAGTATTTCAATAACCGGATAACCGAGGATTTTTAATCCGAATTATCCCATCACTAGTCATAATCATATCATTTAAATAATTTTAATTAATCAAAAAAAATTAATTAGCTAAAATAATATATAATATATATATATACATCCCGCCATCATTTTAAACTCCTTTCACGGTTCAGTAATTTAGCATCACCAAGAAAATCTATTCTTTTCTATATATAAGTCGTGTATGTTCGTTTAGTGCACCTCTGTTGGCTTAGCACCGTTGTCGGTTTTTCAATATTCTGATTTTTTTATATATTTAATTTTTTACATCAAGCCTACGTTTTAACATCGATCATTTAAAATCACTCGATTTGCTATCATTTTAAAGCCAATAGATGTTGCCGATATTAATACTTAAAATAATATCTACAGTAAATTTAACTTCAAGCTACGGCCGGTGTAAACAAATGCACGCTGGAAACACGCTTTTGTTCAGGGCCAGACTAGTAAATTAAAGCTGCAATACAAAACCTTGTATAGTTTGTAGACCTCTGACAGGTACAGATTATAGTACACCAATTTTTTAAATATAAAAATGATTTACAAGATCGAGAGTTATATATAGATACAACAAAATAAAGTATACAAAAAAAAGTTTATAAAATTACCGTATTTTATCTTAACTTTCAGAATCTGATGTACTGCTGTCATCATTAAAGTTGATAATGATAGGCTCAATTTGTGCCTTAATTAAATTGTCCAACTCCCACATTTTTGGCTCCACTTCTTCTTTTACATGTTTGAGGCAGTTTTTCCATGGTGACAGCAGATATAGCTTCATGGAATACATTTTTAATTACAGCAAATTTAAATGTTGTGTTATGCGCTGTAACATAATTCTTGACTTCCATACAAGCTCGATTGGATTGAGCTCGCAGTGGTACGGTGGCAACCTTAAAACTATTCTATTTGTGCTTCTTACCAGTTTATCTACTATGTACTTATTATATTCACCTTTATGTTGTTGTAACGATTTCTAAAAGTTGCACCTTTAACATCGTTCCTTCAAAGGGAATGTCTTTTGAGCGAAGCCGATTTTGAATATCTGCCTTTTTTGTAGCCATAATGGGAATTTTTTCCAATTTTCTGGAAAGGTAAGGAGCATTGTCCATTACAATTACAGCATTTTTCCAGTGTTGGTAAAATCTTTTGGAGTCAATTTTCAAATGACTGCCCATCCATCTCCTCATGGTGGTCTCCACTCTTGCTTGACTCAAAAGCCCACAGTGCATCCGTAACAAAACCATTCTTACTTCCGATGTGACAGATTATAAATCTTTTACCTTTTCCTAAAAGTGATATTAAAGATAATAAATAAAAAATTAAAAGTTTATTTCAATTACTTGAGGGATTTCTTAAGCCGGTCGACAGCCCATCCAAAAATGCACGTCTGGCAGAATTCACAGAAGCATCCACCTAAACTTTTGGTTTTGTATGGTCAGCATTTATCCATGTTTCGTCTAAGTAGTAAATGGTTCTATTTTCAGCTCTATATTTTCTTATCTTTTACAAATAATTTCTCCTCCATAGCACAATTTCATTTTTGTCGAGTAGCAAGTCATTATCATTATTTACATGTCTTAGGACTTTGTCAGTTGTAGGAATTTCATTGCGGAAAAAATACTGATGAACCATTCTTCTTATAGCTGACTTATCAAAATCATCTACAGCATCTATTGATTTTGAACGATTTTGGTTTGTTTTCAGTGCAGATAATGTGTGGGTACTTTTATATTCTTTAATGACATTGAAAACAGTTTTCGCACAAACTCCAACTTTATCTGCAACCCTTTGTTGAATGTCCGTTAACGCTAAAGTAGGATTATCTTGTAATTCACATTTGTATGTATTAACCATTATTTCTTTGGTTCTTACATCTATGTGATTTTTCTTAGCTCTTTTCCTACGAGGACTTAGCGTTAACAGTTGCTCATTTTCATTTGGCGACTCCGTAGCAGACATTTTAAATAAATGGACTTATTATACTTTTCTCAACTAAAATAACAAAATGGGCATTTTTGAAATATACTCTTATAGTAGAGGATCCGATATAACGTTTACCTACATCGCTTGGTTAAATGTGATATTTTTTACTTTTGTTTTTGAGCCTTGAAAATCGTCATCTATCGTTCTTCGTCTGTCAATTCTTTTTCGTCTGTCAATTCTTTTTCGTCTGTCAATTCTTATTCGTCTAACAATTCTTTCTTGTCTTGCAGTTTTAAATTATTTATAACTCGAACACGATCAACTTAAGACAATTACAAAATAATTATTTGTTTAGAATGATCCAAAAAATCTAAAACAATATCTGCCAGGGTTGAATTTTTTTTAAATATATAAAAAAGTATTTTTTAACTCTTTTCGGCACATCGGATTGAAATTTTAATCACCAAATTTTTGCTACATGTTGCACAGTAGTCCACAAAATGAATCACTTATTAATCTATTTTTATCAAGTTTCACCTACGCAAGTGATTTGTATTACTTATTCCCTCTGTCTCTATTAAGTGTTATCTTTAATTGGTAAAATTTCCACGGTATAGTTATCGGCCAAACGCGAATGGTTATCAGTTGTTTCTTGAAAAGTGAGGTCATATTACTTTTTACATATACAATTGAATGTTTCTATGACCCAAGGGTCCATTGCAGAAAATTTATAAAATCTCGTATCGCAAAGAGTTTGAATTATTAATTAATTATAGTCAGGACAAAATTATATCGGGCACCTCTTGTTTTTCATAATTTTTAACATACTAAATTACATATCAAATAATTTTTATCCATTAAACATATCAGTGCAGGTCGACAATGGGTGGAATGCATAAAACGTAGTAGATGCTATTGCTTCAGCAAATAGTATCTAGTTTGTAGCATTTACTTTTACATAAAAGCAGGTGCTTTGTTGAAAAGACCATACTACACAACCGAAGTACTTGCTACTGACCTGAAGGTTCTACCACTAAACGTACCGCCAACAGTAGTGCCCTGTAGATTTTTCATATGCTTGTGTTTTGTGAATAATTATTATTAGAATAAGTGAGTAGTGAGTAAAAATGAGTGATTCAGATTCCGAAGCGACAAAAGAGTTAGGCGAGGACAAAAATGAACAAGTATTGTTTGTTAATCTT